GTTTTAATTCTCTTCTTTGAATGATATTCGCTTGTGAAACGCATCTTCTGATCGAACAAAATACGTTTGTTTTTTTTTATCTCTCTTTGTTTCTTTGGCATGGCACGTTTTTGATGCATACTCAATTTCTGGGTACGACTCTCGTAATAAACATGTTTTTTTTCTCTCTCCATCCAAATCAATGGCTAAGTCAACATTTATCTAATTCATTGTCAAACAAAAAGCAACGTACTATCCCAAAACGAATGGTTCCAGGTAACAAAATTGCAGTTTGCATTCGAAAACGGACTCATTTCTATTCTATTTGGAAAACGTTGTTGTTGTTGTTGTTGACTTTATCATGTATCTAATGAGTTTTCATTTCGTTCATTTTCGTATTCGGCCTAAACAAACACTCAAACACTCTTTACAATTCGACAAGTCATTCACACTTTTCGTTCAAATAGAATATATCGGTCGAAAAAAGTGTATCCAAAACCGAATCGCATTTAAGAAGACAAAAACAAATTACAACCGTTCCATAAAATAAGAATAAGCTCATCTTTTATGGGGCTAGTTCTTAACAAAACGAAACTGTGGCAATAAAATCTGTCAATTTATTCGAGTTCTTTTCTATTTCACACTTGTCGTGTGCAGACGAAACATGGAGAGAGAACAAAAAAAAAACGGCTGTTTTTATTTGGCAAGTTTTTCAAGTTGATATAGGCGCATCACAGACTCCCATTATTTCATCTCATCGCTCGTGTAACAAGTTGTTCACCAAAGAACAGAGAAAAAACACAGTCAAAATCACCCGAAAAAAAACGATGGTTGTTGTTTTGATGATCGCATGTGTGTATGCTAAAAGGGGGAACGGCAAAACGAAATCAAAACCAGATGTATGTTATCAAGATAATTCGAGAAGCGAAGAACCCTCATTCAAAATCGTTTGCTGTTGTTGCTTTGGTTTTCGTGTATCAAATTTATGTCTTGAAGCATTGCACACAAAACCTGCTTCAATGATAGACATTTATGAAAACTCGTACGTTAGCACATCGTTCTTTTGACCTTCAAATTCGTTTTGGCGAATACACATTTTTTTGTCGGTTTCGTTGGTGTTATCGTGCCTTTGGATCCAATTTATCTTGGCAGGTTTGTGTTGCAAACTCCCCATGCATCGGGAGAATGGGTTGGGAATTGATGGGCAACAAAAAAGAGAGAGGAAAAAAAAATCGATTTGGTGAATAATTTGTTTGAATCGGGATGCGATGCGTCAGTATCTGCAAGGGATCTGAAACAATCATGGCTGCCAATGGATTCAATAATAATTTTTCATAAGGAGTGGAACGATCGTATCAATCCACATCTAATTATCTCGTTTTTTTCCGTTTGTTTCGCTGTATCCTTGTCGTCTAGCTGAGCGGGGAAGAAACCGAAACAAAACCTTTAAAATGCCACTTGCATCCGTTCGCATCGCCAATTCAATCATGTTTTGTTGTGACATTTTTCATTTTCGTCTTTGCATTCCGAAATTAATGATTCGCAAAGCCGGAATAAAAATTAATAAAGAAAATCCACACAAATGACAGGGACTATAGCAATGTGTGTGCGTTTCGTTTCTTTTTCTCTTCTTTCGTCGCTGCCGGAGGAAATTTCGAATTGAGTAAGAATAAACAAACCGAATATAATAATTAAACAATTGTTTCGCAGTCAAAAAAAATAAATACAAAAGAGAAAAACAACCAGAGAGAAAGAGAAGAGGTTCTATTCTGACAACGTCTCAGAACCATACAGAAAGGGAACAAAAACAATTTAAATAAATACATCACGATCGAATCGTGGTAGAATTGTGTGTTCGCTTGAGTCTCTTCGAACAAAAAAAACACGAGTAGAAGAAAAGACAAACTCGAGATCGTCATCGTCGCGAGTGTGCCATTGTGCTGGGGCTTGGCTCTCAAATGTGTCGATTTGTGTTCGTTTGTATTATTGTATCCATGCGTGCGAGTTTCGTTGAAACAAAAACAAATGCCCGTCTGGAAATTCAGTCGGTTTTTTTTTGATTCCATCGTTTTTGCCGTTCGTTCAGCAATCAGCATCCACTTTTTGCTGAAGAAGAATAGAAGCCGAGAGAGAGAGAAACATCGTTAAATGCTGATTGTATGGTGGTTGTGCTGTTTGTTGTCGCATTCAACAGTCATAAACAATGAAGAATATTGGGCCCGATAAGAAGCGTCGATCGAGAATATATAATAAAGACACGAACGATGGGAAATTTGGACGCAGAATATCCGCATACGCACACGTTTCGCATCGATCTCGAGTACTTCTCTCTCGGTACAGTCGTAAATTGGTGTTGCTTTTTTCTTCTTCTTTTTCTCTCGTAACCATATACGTACTTGACCAACACACACCCGGAAATAGACTCTGGTGTACACGCTAAATCGTTTGCTGTGTGTATCGTTTTTTTTTTGTTTTTGTGTCTCTCTGCTTTGTGTCGTTTTGTTCATTCGCTCGCCTTTTTTTCTTATTCATATTCACTTGGCAGTGTATGTTTTTTTATTCAACTGTTCTTTGTGTATGAACGTGAATATGGAGAGATAAAATGCGTAAGTCAGCCAAAAAACTCGACTCAATGCTAAAAAAATGTGTGTGCCGTATGGAAGCAGACATTTGCTCATAAGCGATAAATACAATTGGTCGTTTTTTCTTCCTTTTTTCTCGGTTGCTTTTTTTTGAATGTAAACAAAAATTAATTATTTGACTTTTTTGTGCGCTTCGGGTATGTGTGTTTTCTTTCTTTCGCTCACAACGAAGGCAACCTCTGTTTTTGGCTTGGATGCATCTTCAAAAGGTTATGTTGGTCATTTGCAGTATCTCTTTTAATTATTGTTTGATTTTGTTGTTGTATGTGTCTTTGGGTTCTTCGAATCCAAAATGATGCCTTATGGCAGTTTTTTTTTGTTTCGCTTGCTTCATGTTGCGACCCCACAAAGGAACTGATCGCATAGACACATGATTCATTAGGAAAACGCAGATAAGTTTTACCATGCGAACATACAATATGCTGATTATATTTAATGAAACGGCTTGAAGGAGAGTTGTCGGATACAAACGGAGGTCATGATGCAAATTCTGTATGCTCTCCGTATGGTGCAAAACGATCATTTGCATAGCTTGATTCGAAGCTTCACGAGATCTCGAGATTCATTTGTTGGGCGCAAATTCTCTCTCTCTCTCTTCCTGCGATTTCCACTTGAATTAGATTAATTTGCATTTTTTGCCCCTTTAAGCGTGAGGCTCGTGATTTTTGTGTCAGTTTGGAATCGCATTGATGTTGAATTAAAAAAAACTGCTCTAAAAATAAACACAACTTGAATTTGGAGTAAACTAGAGAGATCCTTTTTTTTCTGAATGACAGCAGCACCTTTTCGGTACATGGTGTGACTTTATTCCACATTATTTCCTAGTTAAAATGACAATTTCCTGATTGCTTCGCCATAAATTATGCTACGAGCTCGTGTACATTTTGTGATTTCCAGTACGTGACTTACATTGATTAATTGTTGATGTGAATCGCAAATTAATTTTGTTTACATGCACTGACAGAGACGGTTGACTATGGAGTAGAAGTACTTCTCTTTTTTGCATAAATATTTTATTCTCTTCCGCATATTCAACAATTGGAGCTTATACGAATTTGCATAATGCACCGGTGAATTCATGTGCTGCTTTTTGTGCCGATCGATCACAACAAAGTAACGAAAGATTTCATCATTGGCATCAACGATTGAATTTGTTATCAAACTCATTGATCTAGATTGAATGTGTTGAAAATGTTACTAGTTTATGTTCTAATTTATTGACAAGAATGACGACATGAGCACGCAATGCGCTTAAATTAAATGACTTGACGTGAAATCTCACTTCCGTCGTTTTTCATTGCGTTTTTTTCCTTCCAAATCGACAAGTGTTAAATCAACAGTAGTGTTCCAGCTACACTATATGAACGATTATACCCTCTACCTAACTATAAATTTCAACTATATCTGCTGCTTGCACCAAATGAAGGCCTGCACAATGAAAAACACAATCGAATATCGACACAAACCAAACTTGAAACAAATTACTATTTATAGAACGAATGCGATTAATGAAAATATAGTGTACTGGTCGGCAAGTACGGTGATTGCTGAAAAAAGTAGTTCCTGTTTGCGGCTCCATTCAAAGCATACATCGCACCATTTGCCATCGGTTCTTACTTGATGCATTTTCCCACTGTGACTCACATTGTTTGTACGAGAATTGACCATTGGAATTGTGTGCAATTCCAAATTACCACTTGAGTTTGATACAGTTGCAATAGTTGTTCCCATCGATTGCTTGTACGTGCCGCGTTGGCGTATTTATTTGTTTGTTTTTTTTTCTCTTTTCAAAACCAAAACATAATCGCGCGACGCGCACATTTGTTCTCTCTGGCTCGTTCGCTCTCCTCCACTGCAGTGAGTGTTTTTATTCATTTGTTTAAAATAAGCCGATAAGAAAATGTTTAAAGTCAGTCGCGCACATTTTTTTCCCGCAGCTCGGCTTGGCGTTGTAACAACAATATATGGAGTCGAAAACAAATCCAAATTACTTTAAACTTGGAGCGATAAAAAAAACTGAAAACGTACAACGCACATATTTTTTAAGTCTCGTTCAGCCGTTGTCGTTTTTCTCGAAATATTCAAAATGCATAACAATAAACAGAAAGTCAGTCAGTCATTCAGTATGAAACATAGAGTCAATTGTTTGTGTGCATTTGCGTCTATATATTGTTGGCGACAACGGGCGTGTAGTGTGTATGCCTCAGTCATGTTCAATACGATTGTTTAAAAATGCACCACATTTGCGACTTGTTTGAGAGAAGAAAAAAACGAAACGGAAAAAAATCACATTAAAAAAAACAGTTGAAATAAAAACAGCTTTTAGTTTTGGTTCGGGTTTTTATTTACTCATAACTAACGCGATACGCATGTGCTCTCTCTCTCTCTCTCTCTCTCGGCGTCCACCAACACCGTGACATTTTCGGGCTGGAAATCCGAAATTGTTTTAAATGAAAAGGGAAAAACGACTTATTTCGTCGCATTTTATCAAGTGATGCATGACACAGTTTGTTATTATTACAGCATTTTCATCGTTATGCTGTTATTGTTCGAAAATATAACATTGCCACGACAATGGGGCCTCTCCAGCACGACTCTTTAAACGGACCGAACAAAATGAAACAAACGAAACACACAAAAAAAATTTATAAACGCATATTGAGTAACGACAACAACGACGACGACTGATTTGCATCGCAATGAATTTATGTATCGAAATTTTTCGGTAACGAATGGCATTACGTTATGAGTTTCCACTTAGTCACGCTTTTCACCCATTAAACGTTGCGATGACATTGATTCAGGTTCACTGGGTTTCTTGATATGCATCGTTAAAAATCATCGCGACGACGATAGTTGAAGACATTTTTCTAGACAATTATTTCTTTTTGGCAAAACTTTCAAAAGACGCGTTCACTTCAGTTGCAGTCGAAAAAATGTAGAAAAAAAATGATGACATTCATATTCGTCCTTTTGCCCGTTTGCTCGTCCAACAGAGAAAATTCCACCGCCAAACAGACAAACACAAGAAATCACGTTTGCTATCACCGATAAAGAATTTGTATCGAATGTTTGACATTCTTGTTTGCCAAAAGAATCAGAAAACTAATGAAACGAGCAGTTTTATGGATGGCAAAAATGAGCAAAAACACGAAAATTGCATCACATCGCATTTCAACGTGGTTTTGAATTGATTTTGATTGTGTCGATACGTTTTTCGAGTTTGTCTGTCTTTGTCTCCCTCTCTTGCTCTCTCTCTCTCTCTCTCTCTCTCTATGTCTCTCGTTGTATACATTTGGGCTGGTCGCGAATGAAATATTTGCACGCCAGCTGGATTTTGCGAGCTGCGAATAGATTAAATATTTACCTTTTTTACGATGGTTGTGTTTTGGGATGCGCGTCGGTTTCACGGAAATTACCCAAAAAAACTCATTCTATTGATAAAGGTCTGTCCAATTCTATTGGCATTCTGCTTTATTTTTTAAATTCTTTAATTTACCTAGCAATTTTTCATGTGGCTTAAATACGCAAAAGCAATTTCAAAACATTGAAAGAATGAAGAGAAAGAAAAATGTGGCCATCGAGAGGGAGAGAGGATCGGTTGTAAACGAAAAGAAGATATGTGTAATAAATGACCAAAAATATTGAATGAGAGAATGGCAGAAGATTGATGTATAAGTCTCTATCTCTCTCCGTGTGTTTTTTCTTCTCTTTTTCTTGATTTCTGTGTTTATTCCTTTCAAATAACCCTGGAGACACTATCATTTCCAACCACATCTCATCGTATCCTCTCGTATTTATGTTGTTGAATAAACTATCATTTCGACAAGGAGACGAAAGAGCCAGGAACGCTCTCGTTTCATATTAGTCTTGTTATTTTTGGACAGTGTAGAAAAAGACGAAATCCTCAACAAAAACAATAAAATCTATCAAGTTGCAGTGGAGGCCAAAAAGGCAGAAGAAACAAAAATCCAAAAGTTAGAATTATAACGAACCGCCGAAATTGCCGTTTTTTTTCGTTCATTCTTTCTTTCTCTGTCTCTTTCATCTCCCTTGATCTGTGTTCGAAATGTGATCACGTCCCTTCTTTTGCTTGGCATTTCCAAGAAAATCAACGAAATTGAGAAATGGTTCAGAATAAATAAAAAAACAACGAACGAACGAACGAAAGAACGAAAGAAAGAAGAAGAACCTATAACACAGCACACGAACAAAGAGATGAAGAAAGAGAGCTGAATGATTATATGCGGATGATGGTAATGCAACGAAGACTGCAGGGAAACAAGATAAAAATAACGAATTATGTGCACAAATATGGAGGAGAGCCGAAAAAAGATCGAAACGACAGGGAGTGTGCGGGAGAGAGAAAGAGAATGAACACAAACTTTGTTATAATAACAGAATAGACAACAACAATTTTCGTGTGCCGAGTTTTTTCAAGTCGCTCCTTCTCTCTCTCTCGATGAACGAAATTTGGAAATCCTGAAAATTCAGAATGATCGAGGAAAGGTCCAAACCAAGCAACAAAAAATCATATGAAGAAGACCAAACCAGACTCTTTGATGGCTTTCTCTCTCTCTCTCTCTCTCTCTCTCTCTCCATTCTCCAAAAAAAGATAAATGCATTCGACTAACAATACAATCGATTCGATGTGTCGACCTGACCAACGTATCGAATGACTTGCTTCGTTTCATTTCATTAAAAAAAATACGAGGGAGAGAGAAGAGCCCGAAAATAAACAACATTCGATGTCGAAGATAAAATAGAGCTGTGCAGCAACAGTACTAGAACTAGCGGCAGACACCACTCAAAATTACGAAATCCAACAACAACCTATGTTAATGCATAACGAACTAAGAGCGACCATTTAAAAGCGCAATAACGATATTGATCGAGAGCTGGCATTGATTTTATTTTGAAATGTAATTAAATACAATGTTGCAACGAAGCGAACCAAACGGAGTAGAAGAAGAACAAGTGGACAGCAAATACCCTGAAAATTATCGAAACAGGTAGAATTTAATGGTGTTCTTTTTCTTAGTCAACGTTATTAGACTTTTCCCCATTCTTCAGTGTGTTAAAATTACAAACATCTGGATCTTAGTCACTGTTTGGATGTGTTGAAAACAGAAATGCTTTTGATTTGGTAATAACATAAATACTGGATCGTAAATAAGAATAAGAACCAGCAGCGAATAGGATCAAAACAAAAAAAAAGAAATACTAGAGATTTAAAAATGCACGTGCACACCAGAGACAAAAAAGAACGGAATAGACACCAGAATGAAAAAAAATGTTTACAAAGAAATCCATCTTGTTGGGAGAGGGGAGATTTTTCGCATATTTTCGTTCTTGGGACCATTTTTGAGATGATCGATACGGTCATTTGCTGTTTGTCGATTATTCGGTACTATACACCTACTAATTCTTTTTTCTCTTCGAAAATGAAACCACTCTCTATGCTGTTGGTGTGTTTTAGCGTAGTTTTCGCTGATCCAAATCATAGCCATGAAAAACCGTAAGTATTCATCAATTTATCAACCTTTTCAAATTAGGAAGTTTTTTTTATCGACAAATGAACCATTGCGACAAACAAATTCCCTCAGAATATTTTAGTTTTAAAGTGCAACATAAAGTTTTTTCATATGGAGTTGTTGTTGTAAGCTCTATATAAAAAAAAATTCATGTTGCACTATGAAACTAAAACATTCTGAGGGAATTCGTTTGTCGCAACGGTTCATATATAATGTTATCAAAAGATCAATGAAATTTTTTCAATTTAAATTATCATTTTTCTTCCAGATCTGGCACAAATCTAAATGTTTACGTCCTTACTACTAACAAAAAAGGGTATACGCCGCTTCATGAAGCCGCCTAGGGGAATTTCTCATCGAAAATAGTTTTGAAATCTTTCAAAATCTTCCACAGTTTCTGAAATCTACGTAGTTTTGCCCAAATTTAGAAAATCCATGCATATTTAGTGTTAAAAACAAGACAGTTCAGGCAAGATCACCCGACGCCATCTTGGATTTCACATAATCCGCCATCTTGAAATCTCATAAAATTTATAAAATCTATACAAATCCACATAGTTTCGATAACTTTCACATCTTCACAGTTTCAAACATCTTCGAAAATCTTCACAGTTTTTACGTGAGAAATTCCCCTAGGAAGCCGCAGTTTCTGGTAAATGGCAGAGAGTGAGTTTAACCTAATTTTGGTATGATTGAAAATATCTGTACCAAATACCCGGAGTTAAACTCACTAACATTGACAGAATTCTATCGTAAAAATTATATTGTTAATTATGAAAAAAAAATGCATTGACAGGAAACACAACGGCGGCCAAATTGTTTCTGGATGCTGGAGCTGATATAAATGCTGAATCAAACCTAGGATTTACACCACTCTTCTTGGCTTTTGCTAATTTCAATGCGAAAATACCTGGCGGTAAAAAAAAACTTTGAATATATAACTAATCAAACCATTAAAACGAAATTATTTTTACAGGAAATATGGATATGATCGAACTGCTTGTTCAGAACGGTGCACGCGTTACTATAAATAAGGGATTCAAAGCGCTTCGTTTCTTTCTGACACATTTGTTATGTAAAAACGATAAATTATGTCGTTAGTGTCATTCATCGGCATAGATTTTGCTTAAATTCGTGTAGATTTGATGTGTAGATTGGACAGTCTGAGTGAAATTGAAGACATTTCATCACACAATTGGTCTCAGAGTGTAGTATAACGTTTCAAATGCGAACAATTGTAATTTTCTTTCGAATATGATAAATTCCGTATAATTTTAGATCCATTTTACAAATATTCTATTGAGTTTTCCTTAATTTTTTTTACAACAGTGTGTTATAACTACGTTTAAAATGATCGAAAATTTTCTAATAAAAAGATTAATTAGCCTAAGCTGAGAGTTTATGTGCAAAAAACATCATCTAAATAAAGAAAATTTTCGTAAAAATTTGAATCTGATGTCAAACCATACAGAGAGTGTTGATTTTTAACAGAAAACATGGAAAGTTTTGTACATTGTAAGCTTTGCCATTGTTGGCGTCATTTCAGGAACCAGTACGCGTTAAAAGGTAATCTTAAGCCATTCGTAAGGTAATGTATGGAATCAGTTTTAAGGGATTTGTATATTTTAAATTGAATAAAAAAGATGATTGTTCAATTCAGTGGAGATAGCCAGATTTAATTTGGGTATTTTTTTATTATAGTAAAACATCGATGATGCTTTAAAATTGTAGTGCCAACATCTTTGTCAATATTTCATTATAATATCGATAAGTCATCACCTTCCATTAATTGTATGCTGAAACGCAGCGCTTCGAAAGCCACGTTATCTTTTAGTCGTGCACCGTATTGGACAAGAAGTTGGATCATATCCATACTAGCTAGAACAGTAAAAAAAATTAGTTTTCTAGTATTACCCATATTTTAAAGCGTTTTACTTACTTGAAGGGTCATAATCATGGTCCATAGTTCCGGAAGTTGCAAATGCTGTAAACAGTGGTGTGTACCCAGCATTTGATTCAATATTCACATCTGCGCCAGAATTCAGAAGCATTTTAGCAGCCTCTATGCGCCCTGAAAATAAAATGCATTAATTTTTGCATAAAATGAATTCCATACGAAATAAGTTCGAATGGTCGGAATTAATGAGTAAACATATCGGCAATATTTACTACGAAATGTAGCTAAATGCAGTGGCGTATTTCCATTGTTGTTTTTTGCATTGAGATCTTCTCCTTTGGTTATCAATAATTGAAATGGCAGTTTTCCCAAATTGTCATCTGTATGACTGTTCGTAAGATACCGAGACTTGAACTGCTCAAATCCGATTCTTAATTTGCCAATTTGATGTAATATTGTGCTATTATCAGTGGATATTTTCGCATTAACATCAACTCCATGGGCAAATAGCATCTCCATTACACCGATTTCTCCTATATAAGATGCAATAATAACGCAGGTTTAATGATAAACTTATTGAAATGCACAATATTTTAGACTGGACCTTCACTTCCAATAAAATTTTTATATTTTACTTCTATTGCAACACATATTAGCGACAGTTTTTCCAAACATACCAGAATTGAAAGCACACCTAAGCATCTCCATTCTATCATCCGTTTCTGGATTGAGCACAGCACCGTTTTCAAAAAGTAGTTTTACCATTTCTTCATTACTTTTGCCCAAATCTGAATTAAAGTATTAATTAGACTAACTGATGTACATTTCATATACGCAATAATTACCATAAATATTACAAATCGTAGCATGAAGTAGAGAATCTACTAGGGGCATCTTATCGAGTTTTAAACCATTATCCAACAGCAATTGTAACGATTCAATGGATCCGGCTTTAAAATTAAACAAAACTTTTTTAATAGTTCATTACAAATTGTATCATACAAAAAAAGATTACCAGTTACAGCTATTAAAGCAAAATTGTAAAATTGATCCAAGTTAAATCGTGTGATCATACCACTTGAACATACAGTTTTAATAAAAGCTTCTACTTTCGTCACATTTCCTGTAAAATTTAAAAATTCAGTATTTACAACATTTTTTTTATTTCAAACGCATATCATTTAGCAGACCTGCAAGGACAGCATGTGCAGCATTAGTCCTAAGATATTCATACCAATAATCGAATGGGTCTGTGTTATCAACTATATATCTGGACAGAAATTTCATTTAATAATAATTGATGGAATAAAAAATTTGACAATTTTAGGAAAGACCTTTCTCAGTGTAAATATAATAATGTTGATAAAAAAAACTTCCTACTTTCAGAGAAATAAATTGATGAATACTTACGGTTTTTCATGGCCATGATTTGGAACAGCGAAAATTACGCTAAAACACACCAACAATATGAATAGTAGTTTCATTTTCGAAGATAAAAAAGAATTAGTAGTTGTCCAGTTCCAAATAATCGACAAACAACAAATGCCCGTGTCGATCGTTTCAAAATGGTCCTAAGAACAAACATATGCGAAAAGTCTCCCCTCTCCCAACAAAATGAATTTCTTTGTAAACATATACTGTTGGAAATATAATCAAAAATGTTCCATGTAGGTAGAATGTAATTGAAAAAGCAGGAGGTAATTTTTTTTCCTATCTATTCTTCGCACCTACTTTCCAATTTTTGTTTCCTGTAAACTATCACAATGTAGTAAGGAAACAATGTAGGGTTCAACACATAAAGGTCAGATTTCAGTTGCTGGCGATCCAAGATGAACCTCATATTTCGTTTTGGTAAGTTGGTGGATTGTTGGAAAAAAAAATTCAAATTTTTTGTCAGGGATGTTAGAAAAATACCTACAAATTTGGTCCAAAAACGAAATTTCTTCATAGAATTATCGATCGGTTGAAAGATTGATATAAAATCACATTCATGGTACAGAAAACATACCTACAATAACTTACTATAGGTCTATACACTCAATTTTCGACGTAGAATTGATTTTTAGTATCATTTTACACAAGTTTATATGTATTTAATGTCAAAAAATACAAATGTTTCGAACCAAATGAGCGAATCATGCCCATAGGCATCAGTTTCATAGCTAAATCATCTCATTCGGCAAACAATTTCTGCCTTTGAAACTTTTGAATTTCTAGTATGATCCTTAACGAATATTTTGAGTACCCATATGACCAAATCGGGTGATGTTTCCACACATTTCTGGCCTCATATTCCGATGGTTCGATTTCAATTTTCAAAAAATCCTCTTAGATGAAAGCTTTGGAAAATACATTTTTGAGGTACTTCCCAAACTAAAGTTAAATTTTTTATGGATTTTATATGAAATTATTATTTTTTGTTCGACAAGTACCTCAAATATGCATTTCTTCAAGTTTTTATCTGAGCAAACACCTATTATTTTCGAGGAAAAATAACTTTTTGCCAATACACTACAAAAAGTGCATATTCAATTATTTTTTGAAAGAAAAAAATCGATTTTTTGATAGTTGAAATCGAACCATCGGAATATGAGGCCAGAAATATGTGAAAACATCACCCGATTTGGTCATATGGGTACTCAAAATGTTCGTAAAGCTAGAAGTTCAAAAGTATCAAAGGCAGTAATTTTTTGCCGAATGAGATGATTTAGATGTGAAACTGATGCATATGGGCGTGATTCGCTCATTTGGTTTGAAACAACTGTATTGTTTGACACTAAAATCAAATAAACTTGTGTAATACACAAAGAAGCAAAAAAGAAGAATCGAGTGGAATGAAGAGATGCATCGATAACAGTGAAGCTATTTCAATATTTTGTTATGAAAATGTATGAAATACAGGGTTGGTTGTGTGAAGTTCATATTGTAAACCTCAATGATTTTCACTATAGTCGAAACATGGTGTGTTTATTTGGAATTTCATACATTTGGAGATAGAAGACTCTATAAAAAAGAATAAATACAATGTAAATATTTTTTAGGTTTAGCCTAGGGGGGAAATTTGCAAAACTAGCGGCATTCGCAGAGAGTGAATTCCCCCTATTATTATATTGTGACTTTTTATCCTATCAGTTTTGAAGAGTTGATTCTTAGTTAGTATCATTTCATCAATTTAGGTGATTTTATTTTGGATTTGTTCTGGTTTTCGTTTATATATTAGATTTTTTATGAAACAAATCTTTTTTGGGCTGGCTCAATCTTTACTTGGGACCCATGCTGTCTACGGACCTGTAACTCCTGTTATTATTAAATGTGCAAAGCTATAAACTTTATAACAACAGCAAAACTTCACGAAAAGGTATTTTAAAAGATAGAAGTCACGTATGTAGTTTGCAATATGAAAGTAGAACGTGCCATCTAGACAAATAATTGAAAAATGTATAGAATCGACTATTTTCTAAGAATAGTTGTGACCTTCCTTTGTCTCAACATTTGATTTATAAATATATGTAAAGTGTTTTCATCGATTCAGTCGTACGTTTCATTTGTTAAGATCCAGAACAAAAAAGTAAAACTTTCTTGATTTTGATCACTCTTTGTGATTTGGGTGACGAAGTAACAAGTGAAAAGAGGGTAATTGTTGCCTTTAATTTAAGCTACATATTTAATCAAAAGCAAGTCGTTGTTTCGAAAAAAATAAAATAACGAATGTTTCTGTGCATAGAACACAATTTTCTTGGTGCATTTTATTCGAAGTTCGTGTTAAAAACAAAAATATATTTATCGCAGTTGTTTACCTATCGGCAAGTGAAAATAATATACCAACCAGTATAGTTCTATTCTCATCGACTTTGATTGATTTATGTATCACAATTGCCATCCATTGAGTTGGCGAGTTATTATTCAAGTTTAGAATCTATTATCAATTATTTTCATATTAGCATCAAATGCTCCTTATAACCTTCAAATCATGTCCAATTGTTAAACTCAAATCACTCTGCAGCCAACATGGATCTGCCTAAATTGACGCAAAACTTCTCGTCAATTTATCCACCGGTATAAATTGAGTGACGATTTTTGCTGTCCCAGATTCTCTAATTAAAGTGTAAAACTAAACGCTTCACATGGCCTTTGCCCTCCTGGAAACGTTTACCGAAGGTTATTTTGGACCGTTTTCTATCTGACTACTATCAAGCATTTCCGCACCTTGGTTGTATAACTATGTTTTTTATTTTATTTTATTTTTATTTAACACCACCAAGCTCTGGCTGAATATATTATAATAGAATGTGGCCGGAAAAGAGTGCAAGACTGTTACATCAATTAGTATTTACTTACAATGATTAATAATGACAATAACTATCAGTTATCGTTAAAAACCTGGTTTTTCTCGTAAACTTTTTGCATTTACACAAGTAGGACATGAAAACAAAAACACCGTCATACAACCAAGATGGAAATGCTGGATATTAGTCCGAAGTCGATGTTAAATTAAAAAAAAATTAAATTAAATCATTCGTCAACTTTTCGTAATATTGGCAAGTTTTCATTTTAACGTCAATTCCTCACAAACAGCGTATTTTGTTCAAAGTTCGCATTTTTCGATTGAAAACTCATTTTTTTGTTATTTTTAGCTAAAATAAAAAGAATTACATTCGTAATCCCGTACTTTTCCGTACCGTTGTCCGTTTTTTTCATATCTTGGAAGAAAACGCATAGTTTCAGTGAAGAATCGCCCATTTTCGCCGAAATTTCCAAATAGTTAGGTCTGAGGACACGGCCTAAATATTGCAAATGTTTCTATTTCAATTCAAGCTAATATTTTCGAAAAGCCGATATATGTTCACATGCGATTTAATTAATAAAATTGTACGATCTGTTTCCGGTCTTCTTTAAAGCTACATGAATTCAATCAAAATGCTATGTGTATGTTTTTCAATCAGGTAAGGAAGGAAAAAAAATATTTCCGCCCTGCTCGGTATAGCAAAACAAGAAACGATTCACTTACTGTCAATCATTGGAATTTTAAACATACTGAACTGTATAATATGGGGCTATGTTTCAAATAAACCGTGGGTAAAACGACTTTATGTCCACAATATTTGTTTGATTATCTGTGGTAATGTTTGCTTTTGCGCTCTTTTTTGAATTTTAGTTAACTCTGATCTTATTTCTATAGTAAGGGAGACCCGTCTTAAACGGGCCACACTTTGATTGACCGCTATAAAAGTCTTGAAATTTGGCTAAATATAATTAGAAAGGTTACTCTTTCAGGAAATATTTTTTCCAATTTTTTTGGAACTATTTTTCATTTGGCTAGCATTAGTTTGTTTGTTTTTCGATCACAAGCATACGTCAATGGGTTTCAGTAGTAAACAACGTGAAGTTGTTTGCGTTGCCCGGTATACATTATGTTCACCCTTTGGATATAAGAATAGCACTTTTCATAGGCGGTCTTCCACGACGTTTTAATAAAGATTTTGGTGTTGCTGGTCGCTATGGACCGTCATCAAGCAAAAAATATCATCGAATTAGCTTTAAAGTGCTATTCAATTACTTAAAATACGATGTTCGAACATAAAAATTGCGTTTCAGTGCATAACAAGAAAAATTTGGGTGGTCTAAGACGGTAAAGGTGGCCCGTTTAAACCAAAACACACGATTTTTGCATGATGAAATAACACCAAAATTATCTTTGTACATGGAAAATACATCATTTATAAATTTATACAACACATTTGATCTATTTACCTCCAGGAATTGTCAAAAAATAATCACAGAGTGGTTGTCGGCAAAATGCACTAAAAACTTTTATTCAGAAAATTTCGACACGAAAAATTTATATCGTGCATGGAGTACGTTTTTACTCTTCAAAACTACACTGAAAGTTAGCTCTCGATGATTCACTAATTTGGCGCTGATCAGTTTGACGTTCATATAACATATGTCATCTATCAGAATTTTTCGTGATGGCCCTTTTAACCCGGTGGCCCATTTAAGACGGTTCTCTCTTACAAATACGCTTGCATTTGGTCAAGATCATCTTTACTGGTATATCGTTTGCGTCGTGGCCATCATTTAATGTGATTGGCTGCGGTTCATTAAGTCAAAGCTCTGAATTTCAAAGATTGTTGGTATTTTAATTTTCGAAACGAATTGATAAATAATTCGGAATTATATTGCGGTAAGGCGAAGAACAAAGGAACCTGTCCACGAGACAGCCACAAGAAAGAAAAGGCCATTCCGATTGATTGTCATTCATCAAAACTTTGGTATTTCTATTAACGTTCATTGATCTGATTTGTCTTGTTGTGCGTGTGTGTTCGAGTATGTGTAAAATCAAACAAATGAGCCGAAAACTTCTACCATTCACTTTCTCCCCATCTCGTTTGATTCAAACAAACAATTTTCATAGTCGATTATCGTTTGGGCTTTGATTTCCTTATTCGATGCATGTGGAATTTTAATAAATTTGAAATTTTCTATGAACATACATATCGATGGCATATCTATATTTCTTTGTCGACTGTTTTTTTCTTTCTCGCCTGTTTTTTCTTTCGCTAATGCCGTGCATCTAGCTGAGGTTCGCGTGTGTGTGCCACACAGGGAATGTTTCTTGGCTTTTGATCATAATTGCCGATTAATGTTTAGCAATTACTTTTAAAAAAATTGCTTTTTTAATCGGTTGCACTGGAGTCGAGTGGAGTGGAGATGCGATGCATACGCTTCTTTGCTTTTAAAGAGGCAAACGTGCAATCAATGTCAATTCAATTAATTTACTCTTTTTTCGAAAGTCCCCTCTATCTCTTTCTCTCTCTCCTCGTCTCTATCTCTTTCCACCTCATCGTCGCGTTTGCCATAGACCTGTGCCTAATTTGGCGCACACAAATCACGGATAGAATTACATGTGGCAACAATGAAATCGGCTCAAATTGCTTATCTCGGTGATATTGGCGTTTTTGCTGCTTGCACCTTTTTCCATTCAAAAGGAAATTCAGAAGCAACATGAACTCTCGTTATGCGATGCATCGAGCAATTGAAAAGACCAACCGACTGCTGTTGCTGCTCTTGCAGTATTGTGTGGCTGAGTGGAAAATAAACTGATTCTGATGCTTGTGCTTTTTTTCTTATTCACTTTGCTTCGTTCTCAACTCTTCGTTTTCGCCCAAGTTGAATAATAAACAAATGATGTTTTTTTTCGTTCGAGTGTGCGTGCATTGCCATTTAGCTGGTTGCTGGCGAACAGACCCCATGGGTTGGGTGCTCTGTGTGTTTGTTGCGCGTTCGCTTAACATCACGTACAACGCATTATTTTCTGCTTTGATTTCGTTTCAGTTTCTTCGCCTCATTCTGTATTCTATGTAATTTATTTCAAGTATTATGCATTATTATGGCTCTTGTGCCCACTGCACATTGCTCTCTCTCTCTCTTTCCTCCTCTCGGTTGGAACCATTGCGGTTTGTGTGCACACCGCCACCGCCACAACGAAAGACAACAACAACTACAACAAAAAAAATGAACCAACGAATGTAAAGAGGAGAAAACAAGGGAAAAATAACCGAGCAACAAACAACTCTCTTTGTTCAGTAATTATTATTATTCGTCTCAGTCAGAATGCAAACACAGAACAATCCATTCTATGCTCCATATGCTAAGCGAAAACGAACCAAAACCCATCGAAATCATGGCCCGAAAAAAAAACAGTCGACTTCGAAAATTTCTGTACGAAAAGCCAATTCAAATGCAATTGCATTTATTGGCCGATAGCAGGATATCATTAGGTGTTTTCTTCTTATTCTTATGAAGAAAGCAAAATAACAAACGATGCTGTCCACTATTTCAAAGGAAGCTCTTGCTCGTAATTTTACATCCAAAATAATTACAGACGATGCATTTCATTAACTTGTTTTTACATCACCATACTTCTCTCTCTCTCTCTCTCTCTCTATCTCATTCACTCTCCCGGTCAGCTAGCCGGGCATTGCACATTCATGCAGCACCATTGCAAGAGAGTAAATTGCCGCATGTCGTAAGTGATAAACGAATCGCATTTCAAGAAATGAAAATTAAATGAACTTTAATTTGCATGGTCTTTTAGTTGCTGATGCAGACGCCGCTGCCTCACTAATTTCGCTTTCACAAACTGAGCACATACTCAATTGCTTCTTGCCTCACTCGCGCATTGCAAGGTCTCTCTCTCTCTCTCTCTCTCTCTCTCTCTCTCTCTCTCTCTCTCTCT